CTGGCTAGAGGCCGACCCTGTGCACGCTGCACATGTCCCGGATGCCCACCTTCTCTACTAGCTTGTGGCACTCGTGAAACCTGGGCCATGGATGCAGTGCACGACAAATATCAGGACATCGTCGGTGGCACAGGAGGAGATGGTGGCTACGCCTTCATTGCTCATGGTTGTCTCTAGCTGCCCTCTGCCTCTCGCATTCGATTGGGTCAGGATTGGGCATCGCACTGCCAGGGTGTTGGCCTAATTTCCTGTTTCCACGGATGACGAGGTCCACAGGTGCTGTTAGAAACTTAGGCATTTTTAGATTTAATTTAATCCAGAAAAATAGTTGAAAAATATTTGTGATATCATATATGTGCACGTGTCATCTAACTATTTCAGCAACAACCATGATGAACCTATTTTATGAAACTCACACAAATAAAACTCTCACTCAAACTCTAAACGATCAATTCTCTTATTCTCAAGAAAAATCGCTTAGGATTCCTAGTTCCCTGCTGTTTTGATGGTAACTCTTGATCCGCTTAACCAATTAAAGCAAACAAATACATCTTAAATATCTAGAAAAATTTTCTTAGAACTATTGTTTAGAAAGTCAGGACCAATTCTGGCTCTAATCTTGTTGAAAATAGATAAAAAGATATTTCTTTACGAGAATATATCAAGTCAGACAGCTGCACTAATTTGGGCATAACTCCAAATCCGTTAATCCAATTTGAGTGAAACAGAAGCTACTGGAAAGATAAAAACACAGGCTACAACTTTTCTTTCAGTGCACCATTGAAACTCCACACCAATTATTCCTAGAAATTCATGAACTAGTCAGTCTAATTTACGCGTACTCTGAACTTAATGTACCATTGGCATACTCTTCTCTGCACAGAATTTCTTTATCTGATTGCTCCTTAAAGGATCGAACTCAGAGCAGAGGTAACAATTTGCAAAGGATTGAATGGATCCTGGATTCCTAAAAAATTTCTTTCACTTGCTTTTCCCTTAGTTGCCCTGCCCTCTCCTATTTTCTTTAGCCGGCACCATGGCCCTTACCTATTACTATCCGAGGACTAGCAGCAGCACCTGGTGCTTCAGGGAACTTCAGCACAGGACAGATTAATCAACTTCATAGGAAAATCAGCAGTGCACCGCCACGGTTTCGCTGGCAGAGATGCAAGAAGCAGCAGGGACTGCAAATGCACGCGCGGTTACTAGTAAGCCGAATACATCGACAGGAGATAGCAGAGCAACAAGGGTCTGGGAGGCAGAGATCTTTGGCAGCGTCGATTAGAGCAAAGCGGTGGTAGGAGCATGAACAAAGTCAAGAAGGGAAAAAAGAAGGACACGGCTATCGCCCGGCCGGCCATGTGTTAGGCCAGTCGCACAGCCGACCACTCTGCACACGCCCTCTCTCTTCTATCTTCTTCCTCCCGTGGTCCTGTTCATCTTCTTCCTCTGCATGGTACTGTTCATCTCTTCCTCTTGCGGTCCCATCGCGCCGCCACAAGTGAGCTAGGGTTTCGCTGGAGCTCCGCGTCCCCTGGCCCAGCCCCCGCCGCCACCATAGCCATGGTGCCCCTACCCCGACCTGGTCCGACCGCCTCCACCGCTGCTAGGGCCCCTAAACCTCCTGCCGGCCTCCCCACCACTTGGCCGGCCTTCCTCCCCTAGACCACTTCCCTTCTAAGGCTGCCGGAGTTGGGGAAGATGAGAGGGGGAGCTTGCCGGACCCCTAACTCGCAGATCTAGGAGGAGGAGGAGGAGGAGGAGGAGGAGGAAGTCGCCTACCTCATCGGCGCCGCTGCCCGCCGCCGGACCCCGCCGCCTCCGCTGGAGGGGAGAGAGGGAGGAGCCATGTCGGCAAGGTGCCGCTTTGGGCGCGTGGGGAGAAGCCGCTGCCGGAACCCGCCGCCGCCGTTGGAGGGGAGAGAGGGAGGAGCCGCGGCGCGTGGCGAGGGAGATGAGTGCGGCATCGGGCGTGAGTGATTGTGTGCGCATGGCTGGATAAAAATATGGCAATGCGATAAAGTATTAATTTGTCCATGATTATAATCAAAGGCCAATTTTATGTAATTTTGACCATTCATTATCAAGGAGTCATGGCTTGATAATTTTTTATTAGTTTGTATGCACCTATTACAAGGATCCGGCGTCTCGCAAAGTCATTACCAAAAAGAATGAGTAGAACAGGTGGTGGCGTGAGAAGAGTTTGCGGCATGAAAAAAAACCCTGCCTTTTCTTTTTCTTAACCAATTAGGAAAACTAAGTCATATGCAAGGGTTCAAATTTAGCGGCTCCCACTAAATTTATCCGACCTCCAAACAAAACATGTTACTAGTCAAATGGATTTGTTTCGACGAGATCTACAAAAATACGGTCTCCGATTGTCCATGGGACTTGCAGTTCAAGAAGTCAAAATTTTCTCCTCTTTTCTGTCTGCACGATCAACCCATTATTTTTTTTAAATTCAGGGTATTACAAAGATCATCCAGGTAAGCTACGTGGCTCGAAAACTAACAAGCAAGTATCTTAGGGCATTGTGATGCGGTGATGCCCTGTACATGGAAACTTCAGAGCTCTGAAGCTTCCTCATATTCAAACAAGGGATTAATTGTCCTAGTCACGCTTGTATGTGCTTTGCCACATAGCTGAAACGGCTATCTGAATGAATTGTTTGGGTGCCTTCCCATACCTCGAATGGACTAAGCCTTTACAGCAGCTGTTTTTACGGAATCTTGCTCTCTTTAGGGGAGTCGCACAACTAATGTCCTTTAGAACGTCGTTGTTCAAATTGTTTGGGTCACGTGATATATATGCCCATGTTCACCAAGTTATATAATTTATTTGGGAGCCTTTCTTTGGGCCAAATACTCTCAAGATTTAACAAGGTATAGTACTTGTTGAATCTGTTATACACAGCAGGAAAATTGGAGCGAGGTTCAGTGTCCATGTCAATCGCTCTAGCTATACTGCATAATGTCAGCAGCTTACTTGATTCGTTTGAGCCCATACTCATGTACCGAACTGGGTGAAAATTGGCAAACACAATTCTTTGGCGCTACTATGAGAAGATGATCATGTGCCTGACACAGCTAAACAAATGAGTCTGCATGTTTTGTGAATCGTGGAGGTAAACACGCTCTTTGGCTTTGATGAAGCTGCTACATAATGCTACAATGCTGACACCTCCGAAACTACATGCATTGATGAGACCATTGTGCTAATTGTTTGGAATTTCTCTATTTGCCTCTTGTACTCAAACTGTTGGTGGTGGTGGTGTAGGCGCAGGAGAGGGAGAGGAAGCGGTGGCTAGAGCAACTCAATCAACTTGTCGATAGGCTGCACTCACGCCCCCTCTAGAGCAACTCAATCAACGTGAAGGTGGGTTCATGCTCGAAAATTCTCACTTCTTCTTCATGGCATTTTGACCAGTGTTTATTGGTCACATTCCCCATCACTATGGCAATCAGAGCACTATGGCCCGTCCTCATTTTCCATAGCCAATGTAAGACAACATGTATGCGAGATGTCCATGATTCAAGCCTGTCACGCATGGGCACTGCACATATTAATTATTTAGAGGTGATTTCAGTGAACCTCTGCAACCAGGTGGTTGCTTCAGATGCGAGTTGTCGTTCATCAGGTTACCAGGAGAAGATAATGATTTGGCTTATGCAAAAAACATTATCGGTAATCTATATGTTTCTAGCATGTGGTTTGCATATTTTTTAGTCTTTGATTTTATACAAGACATGGCAGCCACTTAAAGTATTGATAATTTGTCCATGATTATAATCAAAGGTAATGCAACTTGCAATTTTTATGTGAATTTTGACCATTCATTATACAAGGATTTGATATATTAGACTGTTGATAAATTTATGGCTTGATAATTTTTATTAGTTTGTATGCCTATTACAAGGTCCAGGTACGTCTAGCATTGTTATTCTTGCATTGTATATAGGATTTTTTATAGACACGCGCGTACCGCATGTGCATTTCCACTAGTTTAATATAAAAATCTATATATTTGTTCTACCATAACATATGGTCAGTTTCTATGTTACAACTTACAACACGCAATCAGATTGCACTGAGTACAGTTCAGTATCAAGTTCATGAGACATCATGAAAAAAGGGGGTTAAGTAATCTAGATGACAAATCTCATCATGCCCAGGCCCAGCTATAATTTTTATGTGATAGTTTTGTTTTTGGCCCTCCAGTGAGCATCACGTCTTCATACCAATATTAATTAAGAGGCAAAAAAGGGGCTGAAACTATGTTGCAATCGTGGTCAGGTTCGCTGGACACCAACCACATCAAGTCCAGATTCATTCTGCAGTCAAACATGGTATTCTTTGCAGTGCAGCTATGTACATAGAATGCCAGCTAGCATCATTATGAGTTGTTCTTCCAGTTACCTACCTTAAAGATCCACAACACGATGTTGGCTCACCCTCCTTCCTTTTTTACATTCTGTGTATTAATAATGCAATCTGTATTTCAAATCTGCAGTATCTACAGCACTAAATTAGCTAGGCATTGCACACTATGAGTTGTTCTGCCAGTTGCCTACAATAAAGATCCACAACATGATGTTGGCTCACCCTCCTTCCGATTTTTATTCTGTGTATCAATTATGCAATCTGCATTTCAAATCTGCAGTATCTACTACACTAAATGAGGTAGGTGTTACACATGACGTTGGCTCACCCACCTTCCTATTTTACATTCTGTGTATTAATAATGTAATATGCATTTCAAATCTAAAGTATCTACAGCACTAAATGAGATAGGCGTTACACCATCTGTTAGATCTTGAAATTGAATCTTTGAGTTGTTCCTTACCAAACAACCAGACAATTTCCAGCCTATGGTGGATGCCAGCTAGCACCAGATGGATAGGAAGATTAGTATAAATACCCATCGTCGAAGCAATCCTTTGCTTCGATAGATCCAAAGCTACAAGGTAAGCATAAGTAGATTGTAGCCAAACCCTCGAAAAATGGGTGACAAACCTATTACTATGATATCGGATGAGGAGGAAAACGAACCAACTACTCTGGATGAGGAGGATATTGAGGCCTTAGCCGAGCCGCCGGATTGGCTCCCCGATGGATGGATCATGGAGGTCTTCTGCGCTGAAGATGGCACCATTATTCGAGTACGTTTCTCAAACAATAGGAATAGTGCTTGTATATGATTCAACAAGTAATTTTGCCGTATGGAATATTACCTGTAAACCAGACTTTCCTATTATTCAGATTTATGAATTTCCTTTGAACCTTTGAACTATTTTGCAAGCAGTACTATACTTCTCCCATATCAAATTACACATTCACCATGAAGTCGGAGGTATTGGAGTACCTTTTTTCTGGGACAGATGAGCGTATGCTAGAATCGAAGGAACATGGTGCAGAAAACACGCTTCAGGTGCATGACTACAATTTTTTATGTATGACCAACTTTTTATTTTGGCCGTGTTATTACAATTTTTTTGTCTGTTCATTATGCTTGCATATTCAGAGACAACATGAATGGCTTCCAAAGGGGTGGGTGATGGAGGTAAGAGCTGGTGGGGAGAAGACAAACAAGATGTACAAGGTATATATCCACGAGTTTAGTTAGTTGGTACTATTGCTATATTATATATATATATATATATATATATATATATATATATATATATTGTTGGTTTTACATTACTTTGAGGCTCACATAGTAACTAAAATTGCAATTAAACAAGTTATCTCTTATTGTAACATTCATCTATTTGTATGCAAATTGTTACATTCAAACAAGAAACTCAGTAAATACGGAATTTTCCAATTAATAAACAAATACATTGAACATATTTGAATTATAGAAGAGGATGATATGGAATAGCCAGATTCTGAGTACGTAATTGCACCCCGGTGAGGAGCAAACTAGAGTGGAGGTATGTAAGGAATATCGTTGTATGAGATCATTGCATTTTAAATATTCTTAAACTTAACTGTTATTTTTATTTAGGAAACTTATTTATTACGTATATCCTATCCATTATCATCCTTTGATCCAAGAAACTTATTATAAATAAAGTTATATATATGTTATCTTCAGGTCTTAGAAGTAATTGATTTAATTTTGAAATGGAGCATCAAGTGCAAACAATTTTGTGTTACTAATGATTTTAGTATACATTGATGGCTACTATTGATAGTCCTGATGGTTTCATTGTAGTTTTATGTCCACTCAATCACTGGTGTGCGATTGCTATCAAAGCAAGATGTACTACTCTATATCAATGAGGCAAAGGTCTCTGGGTGCGACACCAATGGACAATGTGACACAAGTTCTGAAGACAACGTGTGTCTCTTGCTGATATAATTTGTTCAACTCAAATAACACATTACATCTTTTGAGTGTTTTGATGTTTATTCTATTTATTCTTTTAAAATATTTGTAGATACTTGCAAAAGTGGACTTTCGGCCAAGTGGATTGCCTGAAGGTTGGGTAAAAGAAATAGTTTATAGAAAAACAAAGGAAGGATTGACCAGGAGAGATCCGGTAAATAATATGGCTCATGAGTCATGATTTTTACCATTGATTAAATGAACATTGCTTGATTTAGGAATCATTATTTTGTCTTATCATGCAGTATTACACGGATCCTGCTAGTTCCTACACATTCCGCACACTGAAATCTGCATTATCCTTCCTAGAAACTGGAAAGGTATCCAGGCGTGCATTTATTCAAAGGACAAGAGTTCATGATCTGTACTCTTTTGAAATATCTGCAGATATGGTAATTGTTCTCTTGGTTTTTTGTTTATCTAGTGAAAATCTGCATGACATACTTTTTCCTAGTTGCTTGCATTTTGGACATTATCATCTAGAAACAAAGGTAGTGAATTTTGTTCCCATGCCACTTGATTCAGCCACAATTATCTTTCCTAACTTCCAAATGGTTTGTTATTTGCATTTCTTACTGTCACTTGTTACCTAGTCTGTTTTACCATTACCATCAGCAATAAGTAACTAGGAAATAATTATTTATGGGTCAACAATGTTATGGAAATCAAGTTTCACTTAATTTTTTGTAGTGGTAATTTTATTTATGGTCTTAGTTTTTTGGCATTTGGGGACAAGATTTCTTATGCTCCCTCCACCCACAAAGTTTACATTCTCGACAAGTTTGCTTCCAAACTTTCCAATATTAGAATAATATAACTTTAAACTATTTAGTTTTCAAAAACATATATTGTATGCTTCCAGCACTTTAGGTATATTGTAATAAAAATTTCTAGCAGTCAACAGTATATATCGAAGAGCATATATATCATAGTGCACAAAATCAAATCTCATGACTATAAAGAGTAGCAGTGGAAAACTACAGAGGTAATTCTAGTATATAATTGATTAATTTTCTTTTATATGGCAGCATGAAAGTTTACGTAATAGATTAATAGTAAATGAGAAGCCTTATCAGGAGCCCACAAGATCATCTCGGTCTAGGCGAGCATCGAAAATCGAACAGGATCAAAATATAGATGACTGTAAGTTCCTGCATTTGTTGTTATTATCATAAATTTTGTACAGTTGTGTGCACACCTGCTTGAGTTTTTATTACTTTATTTATGTTCCAAAAAATTGCAAATACTTACATGACATCAATGATAGTATGGGGTTGGTTGTCAATAGTTTATATTTTGTTTTTTGCTACTTAAATTTTGCATTGTTGCTTCTAACGGTCTTCTCATTTCTTTTTGTGCATTGGGAATGATGGTATACTTGCTATCACAAAATTTTATGAAAACTCTCAGGGGTTGTTTGCAAATTTTCTATGCAACAATAGATACTGAAATATCATGTCTTACATGGAAGCTTTAAATCTGATGTGCTTAGTTTGAGATAAAATAGGCAGCATTATACTTTGCCCTTTTATTATTTGGCTTGTATTCTGACTTTTACTCAATTTATAAGCACCAGGTACGTAAGCAAAGAGTTAACTTTACAAATAAAAGTTTCAAGAGTATTGGTAGTTAGATGATTAACCAGACCAAATGCCCATGATCCTTAGCATGCATAGCACACAATACTAGTTAATATAGATATAATAAGTTGGTCTATTGCTGTGCAACACTAAGTTCATTTTTAACCTCCTGTTAAATCTTCTCATGTGGAATTTCATTTGAATCCAACTCAAACTAGGACAGACGGGATACCTCTTTTAGTGATGAACTAGAATCTCAAGATACAAACTTGTGTGGTTGACTCGATGCATGAACTACAATCTCAAGATACAAACTTGTGTGGTTGATTAGATGCATCCAACCTTCTTGATTGAAACACATGCCTCAATAGAAAGATTGTTTACATATGGAACTAGGCAGCGTGCATGTTCAATAACAAATTATACGTGTGATTTGAATGGTAATAGTTAGTACACATGTATTGGTTCCATTTAAACAAATATGATTATTTTATCACTGTTTAATATGTTGTGTTTTCCCTTCTATGCTCTGATACATAATTATTATTTTTTATGCTAGCAAAAGATGGTGATACCTCAAGTGGTTCAGATTCACCAAATGAGTCAGAAGAAGAAAACATTAGAAGCAAGAAGGCTGCAGGCAAAAAAAGCAACTAGCTCAACGAACACTGTCCGTCGTCCATCAGGAAGGCCACCTCAATTCAGGATTAAGGAGGGGATGGACAATCAGGATGCAGACTAAAGAAACTTCTTCCATACTACATACCAATAAAATTTCACCAACACTAATGATGTTGTGTTTTGTTGTTATTTTTAGTGTATCATTACCAAAATAATAATTAATTGCAAAACCAAAACTTGTATTAGCTCATGGTGAGACTACAGATTTGTTATCGTTAATGCTTCAAGTGCACTGAGTGCTAATGATTTTTTTTGAATATATTCCAATTTGTAACTCAGTGTTCAACATATTTCATAAGGAATATGATTATCTAGCTTCTGCATGTGCTGATGCGTTAGTTGCACGTTAGGGGTGGAACTGGTTGCTTACTGAGATTTAACAATATCTATCTATCTACAACTAAAAAGCCTCAAGTGTCAACGTCTACCTAGTAGCACCAGACACACCGCTGACACAAGACCTCCAGCCAATTGAGCATTTGTTCTTCCTCCACCATAGCACCTGTTATTTTTTATCTCCTCCGCACCATACATCACAATGCTAACACATCCGATCCTTCCCAAAATCGTGCATCTACACAGCTCTGCATCTTGACCCCTCGTAAAATCAGCCACCCTCCTCCACTGGCCTGCAACGGTCGACTTTGAGCACGCTTCAGCTAGCCAGCAATGGTCTACCTTGGGCTCGCCTTGTCTGTCGGCTTGTAGCATCCGACCCCACCCGCCATGTCTGCCAGCTTGTGGCGCCTGACCTGGTCATGCCTCCTCCACTGGCTAGAGGTTGACCCTGTGCACGTTGCACATGTCCCAGACCCTTGGCCGTGGATGCACTGCACGACAAATCTTGAGGGACATCGTCGGTGGCACAGGAGGAGATGGTGGCTACGCCTTCATCGCTCATGGTGTCTCTAGCCGCCCTCTGCCTCTCACATTCGATTGGGTCAGGATGGGGCATCGCCCTGCCATCATTGCCTAACTCTAACCAGGGTGTTGGCCCCGTTTCCTGTTTCCACGGATGACGAGCACCACAGGTGCTGTTAGAAACTTAGGCATTTTTAGATTTAATTTAATCCAGAAAAATAGTTGAAAAATATTTGTGATATCATATATGTGCACGTGTGATCTAACTATTTCAGTAACAACCATGATGAACCTATTTTATGAAACTCACTCAAACTCTACGATCAATTCTCATTTTCTCGAGAAAAATCACTTAGGGTTCCTAGTTCCCTGCTGTTTTGATGATAACTCTCGATCCGCTTAACCAATTAAAGCAAACAAATACATCTTAAATATCTAGAAAAAATTTCTTAGAACTATTGATTAGAAAATCAGGACCAATTCTGGCTCTAATCTTGTCGAAAATAGATAAAAAGATATTTCTTTATGAGAATATATCAAGTCAGATAGCTGCACTAATTCGGGCATAACTCCATATCCACTAATCCGATTCAAGTGAAACAAAAGCTACTGGAAAAATAAAAATATAGGCTACAACTTTTCTTTCGGTGGACCATTGAAATTCCACACCAATTATTCCTAGAAATTAATGAACTAGTCAGTCTAATTTACGCGTACTCTGAACTTAATGTACCATTGGCGTACTCTTCTCTGCACAGAATTTCTTTATCCGATTGCTCCATAAAGGATCGAACTCAGAGCAGAGGTAACAATTTGTAAAGGATTGAATGGATCCTGCATTCCTAAAAATTTTCTTTCACTTGCTTTCCCCTCAGTTGCCCCACCCTCTCCTATTTTCTTTAGCCGGCACCATGCCGTTTACCTATTACTAATCGAGGACCAGCCATGGCACCTGGTGCTTCAGGGAAACTTCAGCACAGGATAGGTTAATCAACACTCTAGGAAAATCAGCAGTGTAGCGCCACGGTTAGATGTACGTCGCTGGCAGAGATGCAAGAAGCAGCAGGTATTGCAAATGCTGGTGGGGTTACTAGTAAGCTGAATACTTCGGCAGGAGATGGCAAAGCTCAACAAGGGTGGCAGCGTTGATTAGAACAAAGCGGCGGCAGCGGCCGCGTTGGCGGAGCTTAACTCATATTTCTTACCACCAACATTTCAATAAAATGTACAAATATGAATACCAAACTTAGAATTATGGATTACCACTCAAAAGTTCCACAAGTTTTGGTGTTTATAAGTTTTGCAGGACAAACACATGAAAACACATCAAAATGCGCAATTGAGAAAGTGCAATCAAACAAAACAAGAGATGGGCCACGTACCTAAGGAATCTGAAGCCCAAACCAGCGAAGACGAGGCCAAGGCCCATCCAGCAACTGCCCCCACGAAGGCGGTGTGGGGAGGTGCCACCCAGGTGCGGCCGCACCCCCCTTGCTGCCCCTCGGGTCCACCCTTCGGGAGGCGGTGAATTGAATACCCCTAGGACAGTTGCATGGTATCCCTTGGGAATATTCCCCCAAACCATCCTAAGTGAGCTATAAAAGCAAGGGGAGGCCTCATTGAAAATCATCATACACATTGAGAAGAAGAAGAAGAAGAGCAAGCTCAACTCCACATTAGCTCTTAGCTAGATTAGTATAGGGAGTGAGAGAGAAGAGTTGGAGAAGTACCAGAGTTGTTGGCTACCTCCACTAGTGTACTATTGGCATTTCTCAGCATCGTCACTAAGATTTGGTATATCCTAGCAACGCCGCCAAAAATGTCTTGACGATAGTTCTTAACTATTACAGAAATTATCTGCAAGCGCACGGATCTATCGTTGTAGCATTTCACCCAAAAGTATTCATGGTATCATTATTTATATTTTTCCAAAGGAAGGCATAATGTAAAAGGTTCTAGCGGGGACATGGACAGGATAAAGTGACTGCACACTAGACCAATACTCAATGAAGGGGTAAGTCATGATAGTTTTAAGATAGTGTGACACACACTTGGGCCAACCTCAAGGATAAAAGAGAAAGAAAGAATAAAAGAATGTTCCTAAGTGGAGAAGGCTTATCCTTAATATAGTCATACAAAGAATAGTGAGTGATCATACAAAATACATGGTTAGACCTAGACCTAAGTGTAAGATGGACGGGGAGATCTCCGAGCACTGGTCTGCCAGCAAGCTAGGGAGACTTTATGAACTCCTATACGAATACCCGAATGTGGGGGATTACAAGGGACGGACAGGGCTGTCACCACCTGCCGCCTACCCCTCAACCATGGAGCACCGTCACATCCAAAGGTTCCCGTACACCTGAGCACCATGCCTGTGTATAAGGGAACTACCCATATCCCCCTAGGACTCTGACTCTACGGATTGACAAGCATAGGACATGGGCAAACCCAAAGGAACGAGAACCACCACCTTAGCTTAGTTCTAATTCTAATCATATAGGTTACATGAATGATTAAGCTTAATGTTCTACATGTTAAGTTCATAACATAAGAACTATATGCTAATTCATATGCTATGATCATAACATAAGAACTATACTCTAGTTCATGAGTATGACAATATTGATAAGTAGAGAACAAGAACATATTGGAACTATTTGTATTTCTTATACCAAGTGTTGCCAAGATGTCCAAGTCTCTTACAAGCTTTGCCAAGCTCCAAATGCTTCTAAGAAAATGTCAAAGTACAAAGGTGGGGTGAGGAGTTTGGCTCCAAGAGTTGTGTGTGTTGAGAGGGGGCTCTCCCCCTCCATTTATACTAGCCTAAGGACGGTTTGGGGGGAATTGGGGAATCTTCCCGAAACCACCTTAGGGGCATCGAATGCATGTTGACGGTAGTTAACATCCATCAGAAACCATCAACATAACTCAAAATAATGCATGAAAGTGATCACCAACATAGACTTAGGGGTTTAAACTGACAATTTCCACAAGTTTTGGTGAATCTGTGTTTTTAGCGGGGTTTATCCAAAAAACCGTCAAGGTGGATCAAATCGTCAAATTAAATCGCAATTATCCATGACATAAATAGCACCAGAAGGTTCCAAAGGTCACCAGAAGCCATCCCCCAAAGCAGACCTCGGGAGGATGATAGGTGGGGCTAGCCGGTCCCACTTGTAGGTTGATTGGCCCCTAGGTCCCACATGTCGGTCTCCCCTTCTACGTTGGTTCCTCCACCACCTCAAGGATTGCATCTACGCCGTTCTTTCAAGTCGGTTTGATTCATGGGTCCAAAATTGATATATCCCCCTATATATACCAGCCCCTACCCCCCTCCCTGAGGCATCAATAACCCTGATCATAAGTCAAGGTCAGATCAGAAATTAGAGTTTCTAGAGAGAAGAGAATAGAGCTCCAATTCTTCAAATTCTAGTATAGGCTAGATAGCAAGATTCAAGTACAATTGGGCTTTTGCTCAGGATTCCGGATTCGCCATCTGGAGGCTGGTAAAGTCATTGTATCCCTCTATATTTTGCGACTCTATGCTACTTCAATACTATGTTTCTATTTATTATTTTCCTAGTTTGCTTTCGTATTATGCTTGATATAGTCATGATTGATAATGAATTTATGCATATATTCGCAAAGCGCTTAGCTAAGTACTCGAGTGAGTTAAGTGGTCGACATTATATAAGCATGGTGCGCAAATATTGTTTACCTGCGGATGCACTCTACACTCCGGGCCATGTGGTAGATCACGAGTGTGACACTCTTGTTGAGTCCTTTGTAGTCCACTCCCCATTTGTAGAACAAGTAGAACCTGGTCGCAAAGGAAATCAAGCTCTGTTCTTGATCTTCCTTAGTAATGTTCCTTATACATAGATGAAGAGTTAATTACGCTATAGATGAAAGTGTATATACTAGAGTGTACAAAAGACTTAGTAAATAAGAAATGGCTTAGGAATCTTTGCTCTTAACTAATCTCCTACCTAGCCATACTACATTTATGAGTATCTATTTCTATCTCTGGATTACTATCAGTGCCTTACACTTATCATTTATTTATCATTTGGCTTACCCCTGTTAAAGCATGAGAGCTAATGATCTTGTCA